ACCTGGTGGGTATTCCCTGGTACTTATCAATAAGGCCCGGACTCTCATCTTCTGAGTCAGGGTCATGCTTTTCTTGGTATTTTATTTCTTCTGATCTACTTATGTCCATGTATTTATAAGCTTCTACTTTCATGGGATCTGCTAAGGTTTTATCAACTTCAGTAGATTCTGCAGGAGTCATCTCTATTCCCGAATCTGAGCTAAACAAGCCACGGGACTCAAACCCAGTCACATCTTGAACAGGATGCCCCAGTGTGTTAAACCCTTCTGTGCTGCCCGAGCAGGGAATGGGGCTGTTTTCCTGCTGTTTTTTTTAAATAGGTGGAGTCCCTCGGGGTGGTGTAGTGGACATCTGAGATCAGAGAGGTGTAGAAGGAGCTGTCACCGCCGTTGGCAGTAGAGCCATAGTCAAAGAGGTGCGATGAGGTTGTGACACCTAAAGCAAAGACACAAAAACGATGCACAGTGAAGAGACAATTGCCTGCATGCATCAATCTTTCTGCAAAGCCATACTCGCTCCCCTCTGCTTTTAGATTCTGTTTGTGCACCAAGCTTCGCTTTGCTTGCAAGCTCTTTGGGAATGTCTCTTACTATACCTTTGGGCAACATAGTAGCACATCTGTCAGACAAGGCTTCCAGCAGCTGTTGTATCTTAAAATAGCTATAACAATTCTGATAGCTGCTCAGAGTTCCCGGCCAATGTTTGCCCAGCTTGTGCATAAAAATCCCCAGTGATGGCAACCCCACAACCTCCCTCACAATCTGACTCAGGGGCTCCCTATCCAATATGCTTTAAAAAAAATTCTAATGTCCAATACAAAAACAATCCTGAGTAAAAACATTTATTTTTTTTTTTTAATACAGAGAAATGGAGGAGTTTCACCCTAAGGAAACTTTTAATTAAGAAAAAAATTCTGCTGGATGGAAATTGAGATGGAAAGGTGGTAGGCAGCTTTAGATTTCATTTTGTCTTTTAAGAGTAGCCACTCCAAATTTGTGAAACGCCAGGGCAGAGACTAAAGATCCTCATTTAGTGACTTCCACATGCTCAGAAAGCCACATCCTGTGTGCATCATCTACAAAGCAGGCCAGCATGAAAGCAGTTAAACCTCTACCCACGCCCATGCATCATTTTCATATACCACCTTTAATTCCCTCTGTCATGCTTTAAGTTCCTGGGGATGACGGTAATTAAATTACAAACAATGGCCACTCTCTATTTGCAGCGCTAATCTAAAGCACAGCTTGACAACGGGAACAGCGAGATCCTCCATGAGGGAGGTGGGAGGTGGGGAGACAATTTTTTATAGGGGCTGAGGAAACTGGGATGTAGAGGAACAAAGCTACTGTCTGTAGGAGCTGGTGCCTATAGAAGGGTGGTAGCCTGTTAACCGCTTGTGCGCTGATGCACACTACATCGCAGAGGCTGGCCAGTTTTCTCTGACCTCTGTGTAGCACCCTGCAAGGGATGTGAGGCTCCTGACCTGCTCCGTATGTGCCATGTCCTGGGCTACCATGCACAATGCAAACTTAACAGTAATGTTAAAGGGACGTTGCTGCAGCTGCGAAGCCACAAGCTGGAAAATGTCAGTGTAAAAGCTCCTGAGCTACTTGCATTTGGTTATTTTCTTTCTCCTTGCACATACATAATGGTACTAAGTCTAAATATCTTCATAACTATTTTTTCCTACAGCATTAGGTTTGTGCAACTCATCTAGTGAGCCCTGAAGCAATTTTTTTCCCCCTTAACACTGTTCAGTGTGTAGCTGCAGGCTCTATTTTACTGCACAACCTTGTTGGATTTGACATGCACAACCCAAGCCCTGCACAAAGGCAGAATGACCATTTCCCTCACCGTATTTTTGCATCACTCAGTGCTACGATGACTTGCAAGCAATTTCTTTCCCCTGGGCCACCTTTAGGGTGGGAACGACATGTTTCTCCTTTTACAAGGGGGAATCTGGTAGCACAGGGAAAAGGCGACCCAGAAGTGCCACACCTTGCTTTTCACCCTACCTTCGCTACCTGCTCCTGTGTGTCCATCCTCACTGACTTTGGGTGCTGCTGGTCCTCTGCCAGCCCTCACCGCTAATCTGCTATTGCAGACATGATGCTGACAGCAGCTCTACCCCAACACCCCAAGAGCCCATAGCCAGGGATTCGTGGCAGCTGCCTTTGCCATAGGAGAGCAAGGGGTGCTGTAGCTAGCAGGTGAAAAATTATCATCACTACTCCCAGTCATTCCCAGCCTTCAGTTTGCTCTTCTCACCGCTACGGAGCAGTGCATAGAACTTTTCATAGAAATATTTATGATCGAGCTAAGATCTTGTTTCAGAGTGGCGATGGTCACTGCGGAGATTTTTCCTATGCATGTGAATTTGGGACTTTTTTTTCCCTCTCTATCTATGTAACTTCATATGTACCTACTCTAAATTTCACCTTCTATTTTCCTGCCAGCTCACTCAGGGCTGCTTTTGTAACTTGCTGCAGGCAGCTCTCATCCTCGCTGCTCCAAATGACTCAGTCTCATCAGCAAAGGTACGTGAGAATGGAGCCTAAGTGGAAAACCACAGTGAAACCAAAGCAGAATAAGGGCTAAGCTGGGCTGCCCAGCACACACATCAGGTCCTACCTGAGGTAATCCAGTGCCTCGCAAGGACAGCTCATACCCACAAAACATTCCTAAATGATCAATAAGCAAAAAGGCATAAGTTCTTTTTCTTGCAAATATTTTTCTTGCTGAACTTGCCTTTTTGAAAATTATGCATAAACAGGCTTGGATTTTCACAAACGTGTTGGTTAGCTGGAATTACCTGATGCATTGTTTATGCCAACATATTTCAGGCTGTGAATTGCTGACTACAGACGATTCATGCCTGTTGCTGCCAGTATCTGCTGTTTCTAATTTACTATTTGTGCTGGGTGAGTGGCTGTCTAAATCGTGCAGTTTCAGGGCTGCTTCTTCATTAGATGATTCCTCGATGCCTACTGGGCCTGATCCAAAGCCCACCAAATTCACCAGAAAAGTGCCGTTGATTCTGAGTGGCTTTGGACCAGCTCAAGATGTTTGTGCAATACCTTCTGCTCTGAGTACTCATGAAAAACACACCATCACAACACCATCAGTGAGCAAAAATCCGTTTCTACAAACATCCTGCTATCGCTAGTAAAGAGGGAGCACAAACATAGTCAAAGGAGATTGAAGTCACCGTCACAACAATATTCATGGATGCTGTTTGCAGCTTTCATTTCTGCTTTGTCCAGAGTATATGTGAGCCAGATACACATGCATTTGCAGTACTTAGTAATGCTGATCAATAGAGCAGTGAAAGGGTTTCTAACGCATTTGTGTCAGGAGCTTCATAGCAGGAGTTATAGCAGGCCAGGAGAGCTCGAGAGCCACTGTGATAAAGAGAGCCTGGGAAAATATCATCCTATTCTTTATGCTATTCATCAGCAGAAAGCAAAAATAACCCTAAAATAGTCATCAACAGACACATCACTTCACATTTTCAAACAGTACAAAACCAATGCTGTAGTAGATGTTAACACAAGAGCTGATTTCAAATCAACTCACTGTCGATCGTAAACCTTATTTGTTTTCATGCAGCAGTTTTGCAAATAACAATGAAACCAGAAAATGCATTTCTTACTGGGGTTCAGGAGGAAGACAAAGAGTTAAAGGGGGTGTGAGCATGGCCATGTGCATGTGTGAGTAGAGAGAGGGTTCACATTAGCAGGACACAGAGGGATTCCAACTCTCAAGACCACAGAGTCAAAAGCACTGAAGACAGCTGAAATTGCCTAATTACTAGGATTTAATGCAACTCTCTGTTTCCACAGGGAATGATTTAAAGCCATGGGTAAAACTGCCTCTTATTTGGGAAGTGTGAATCTATCAGCCATTAGGCTGGCTATTAAAGACATGGAAACCTATAATAGCTGAGCAGATTTTTGCTGAAGAATAGTGTATTCAGAGCCTGGTGATTAAGCAATGCACTCTGACTTTAAGTTTATCTAGTTCAATATCCGTGGGAAGGAGAAGCCTTGAATAGCACTGGTAACGGATGGCAGTATCAGATCTGAATTTACCCTTGTTACGAAGGGCTGGGTTTTTTTTTAATCTGGATTTCCCTCAAACGTGCCCAAAAACTTGCCTGCCAATTCAGGTAAAGCAAAGCTATTCAGTGCCTGAGAGCAGCAGTCATGCTTTCTTATAATATGAGCCCTCGGGAAATAATTTCACTTCCTGAGACCAGCTAAGTAATGGGTCTGATTCAATCCTTTGAGCACAGCTGAGATGCTCAGCAAGTTACTTGTGTTTTCATCAACTGTAAAGAAAAAAAAAAAATTGGAAATGACTGTTTTGCTTCCTCAGAATAAGTGAATGCTCCAGAAATCTGCTGCTACAGCACTGGATTTAGAGCTATTTAGCAATTGACACAGGAAATAATTTAGAAGTCGTTGATTCCATGCAGAGTAACTCTTAATTTAAGAAAGGCAACTGAAGCTCAATTTGGATCGATGCAAGCTGAACTGCTGTAGCATAGTGGAAGAGGAAACAAAAAGTTAGTTGAGGATAGTAGACAAGAAAAAGCGCTAATCAAATAAAACTGATTTTTTTCCCCAATTAGAGTATGCTTAGTCTTCTTAAAATTGATCAACTCAGAATATTGTGTCCAATTTTCAGTAAAATAACCAGTTTCCACATTAATCTGCCTTTCTTAATCTTCACATGCAACTCTGGTGACCTTCAATGGCACAGACAGACTGACACAGAAGGACATGATGTCTCAGTTCTGCAGAACAGCTGGCAACCCTGCAATGCGAGGTTTGGTATTTATTGTGTGTCAGTGATTCGGTCAGAATTATTAATTTTTCAGAAGAGGAGAGGGGGAACCAATCTTTAATTGGATGATGCTATTTTTACAGCCTGGAGCTGCACCGAGAAGAGGAAGGATCTTTGGTTGCAACTGGAGGAATCAAGGTTTCAGTGACCTTTTCAGACAAAAGCAGAATAGTGTGAGCAAGCCGTTTCCAGCAAATTCCTGTAAGTCTTTTAAATAGTTGGCTCTGACTTTTGCTTTGGATATTGAGCCTCAGGAGTCATTACTGGGTACCCCAGTGCTGCCAGGCTGCTAACTGCCAGGAGCATGGTCTCCCCAGCTCTCTCCTATGTCCACGCAGATCGCAGCCTCCTGGCGAAAACGTCCACCTTGTCTGTCTGGACAGTCCCTGACTTGTGGTAATGCATGGACTAGAGATAATAACAGGCAAAGTCCCATAAACAAGGGGAGTACTCTTGTTTGGCCCCAAATGATGCTAGAGGGTCCCTCAGGCCTCCTGTCACTCCCAGTACCTCAGCCCTTTAGGTGTCATCCAGAGATTTTAGATAATAAAGAGGCCAAAACTGAGCGATGAGCATTTA